TTTATTTTGTTGTTGGATCTTGGTTCCTTTTCCCATGCAATTGCACCGTTTTATCATAATATGCAGATATTAGATAAATGACACTTGAAACTACCCCTTGTTCATTTAAGAACTCATGTATCCAAACAACCTCCATAGGCTTTTGGTGCAACAATGTACTTGGCATTTGCTGTTGAATTCACAGTGGTTTATTGCTTGACACTATTCCAGCTCACTGCCTCATCATTGAAATGAATGTAAGACTATTAAATTATTATTCCCACTATAGAATAAAATATATTCTATAGTCTATCTAATGTAATAAAGAATAGTCTTAGCAGTCTTCCAATATACCTCCCCAGGATTTCATTGTAATATGCAAGTGATACTAAGTGCATAAGTCATATAGACCTCGTGGTATGCATGATAGACTCCATAGCATAAGCATATGAGACTTTATTTCATACGCCCAAGTTTGGCAGACAATCCTTCTTTGCCAACTTGACGTCATGACCATTATTGGAATATTCATTTTCGTTAGAATTTGAAAAATACTTCAGTACCTTGAATACACACGTGAACCATGAAACTCTAATACTCTATTAGGTCTATCTCAATAAACCCTAATTTCAAGAGTATAGCAGGTTTCACCCAAGTCTTTCATAATGAAGGTACTTGATAGTCAATATTTCATGGACTGTAGGCGAGGAACATCATTTCATTATTAAAGGAAAATAGGAACGTGCATGAAAAAGAACTAGAGAAAGGCAATATAATTTTCTTGCTACTTGATCAGAATAGGTTACAATTCATTTCTGCATCCTTTGTCCATTTATATACAGCTCAAGAGATATTTCTAGAAGTGGCATCTAAATGGGAATATGCCAATGAGGGTGGCTGACGTCTGCATGATGTCACATATGCAAGGTGGCATGCAGGACGTCCTGGGAGTGCGCTCCTCGTACTGAATCATCAGAGTGCTGCAACCATTATATAGTGAAGGGAATCTTCTTGTTGTTATTTTGTCTTCTTCAATTCCCAATTTGTCCTTGCCTCTAATAATTATCAATAAGTCGCGTACATATATGATGAAAATAATATTATCCTCATTGCATTTACGCATAGATCCTTCTTACTTCTTACAAAGCCATTATGTAACTTCGTAGAAACAGATATTCTAACTCCCAAAGCTTGCTTAAGTCCACTATTGCACCTCAGTAACTCTCATACTAATTTTTAATTTGACTTGGACGTGAAACCTTTAGGGTGTATCATATATATACATCCTCTAATTCCCATCAAGGAAAATGATTTTAACATCCATATATCAAATATCACAGTCAGTATATGCAACTTTTGCTAGTAAAATCCAAGATGGACTTGATTCCATCAACATGCATGTGAAGGGGTATTATTATAGCTAACGTCTTCACGTTGACTATAACCTTTAGCCACCAACCTAGCCTTGTAGGTTTGTTCTTTGACATTTACATAAGTGTTCTTGAAAACTCATTTGTTTCTAATAGGTCAAACCTAATTTTCAAACCAACGGTTTATTAGTTTAAAGTGAGAATAATTGTTGACCTAGTAACTCAAACCTCGGTTCATCTCTCAAGGAAAGCTATTAGGAGTTTCGCTCATTACGTAGTTGTACATGATCACAAAACGAGAAAATAAAGGCCTAAACATTCTAATCGAGAAGATTGTGATTGATTAAACACTAATTGCAATTGAAAATTGAAAGCGTGAGAAAGCTAGGTAATTATACTAGCTTTAAACCTAAATGATTGAGCTTAAACAAAGTCTCAAACTTTAACACTAGATAAGCAAGTAATTAACTACTCACTTAGGCAAACAATAAAAACAAAAACCTAAACTTTCCCTCATTCATCAAGCAAACACCCAAATTTACTTTGAAAAATATCATAAGCAAAAATGAGGCAAACACGTGGTAATGAGGCTAGAAGCTAGTACCCACTCACCTATCGTGTGGTAGACGAGAATCATTTTAAAAAGTTCTGAACTTGCATAGAAACGATGTCACCGGAAAGTCGTATAAAAAATGATAGTCATAGAGCTCCAATATAATATAGAGAGAACTAAAAATAAGCAAATAATTCCTAAAGTAGAAAAATGACAAATGAAATCTAAGGTGCTCCCAACACAAGGGACAAAATGTATTTATAGTCTCCTAAAAAACACACACTGAATAAAAAGGCACATTTAAAATTCCACTCGCGTAGTGGCTAAATGACTCGCTCGCCGCGGACGCGGGCAGATGGCGCTCGCTATGTCTCGGGATTGGACGCGTGGCGCGGGCACAGGTAAAACGAAACTTGCGACGTTTTGGGCTTGGATGCTTGGCGCGGGTGCAGTAAGGACGACACTTGCGACTTGACGATCTTGGATGTGGGGCGCGGGCGCATGAAGTACAACACTCGTGACGTCACGGACTTGGACGCTAGGCGCAGACGCATGTAGGTGGCACTCGCGAGGTCGCCGGCCAGTGCGCGAGGTCGCGAGTGTAGGCAAGCTAGGGTGACGTCATCGATTGAAAAGTGCTTGAAAAGACTCAAAATTGCTCGGGAAGAAATTAGAATCGCTCGAAAAATAACTCGGGATTGCTCGAAAATAACTCAAGGCTTCTCGGAAATAGTTTTATGATAAACCTAAAAATTACACCAAACGACACGGAAAAGTAAGCCAAAATGTAAAAACCGAAAGAAAAGAAAAACACATGGAACAACTAAAAATGGATCGGTTAAACAAGGAAACAAACCTAGAATCAACTCAATTAAGCATATAAAAAACATGAAAATAAGCATAAAAACACAATAAACACCAACCAAATTCTAAACTTGATTCGTGTACATCAAGTCCATTTATAATTTTATGGCATCAAGGCACCTCCCTGAGTCTATGTCTCACATAAACTCAATGTTGGACCTAAGCTCATCCTCGTTAGAAATCTCTACATCATCATGATCGTCCAAAAAGAAAGACAATCTAATTGTTCCACGATGAGTTCTAGTCAACCTACGGAATTTTACATATTACATTTGCTATTAGACATTTTGATCATAAAGAGGTTCTTGTATGTTGGAATTTCCCATCGGCTAGAGGGTTTTCAAAAACCACGTTTGCATGCGTTTATTGAGAATGATTGGCATCCAAGCCATTATGTATTGCTTGTATATGAGTGTGTTGAACTCCTACAGTTTCTTACGTAGTTCTCCCACTAGCTAGAAATTGTCCATAAAATGGCAAATTTATTCCGGGAATCACCAATACCTCCCTCTAAATCTTTATCAATACCAAACAACAATTCTTGAACCTCAATGTTATTTTGAGTTTTTTGAACTTTTCAAGTTCTGTTACAATACAGATGCATAATTATTCTAACAAAATGCATATTTATTCCAAAACATATGCATAGTTATTCTAGTTACTTAATATGAGTCATTGATCAACACAAAATCAATGGTTAAGAAGTGTCCTCATTTGACCTATCCCTATGTACATATCTAATTCATGCAATAACTATAGTTACATTCAGAGCAATTTAAGAAAAAAGTGCATATGAAATTATAAAACAATAATTGGAGCGATAATATGTGTAATTTTAGAAAATTTGAGTAGCAAATCTATATATATATAATTGCTAGCATATAGCATTTAATAAAACATCTTTAATAAAACCACTAAAATTTTTTCCTCCATTTTCGGTTACAAAATTTATCATTAATATTTTTTTACTTCTCACATTAATACATCCTATTAAATGTAATCATGTATTTTTTCTATTATATTATATAATAGTTATTGCTAATACCAACTAATAATAATTCACAATAATATTAACATCGATATTATCTTTTTCTTTTGTATCTCATGAAAAAATTTCTTTAAAAATAATTAGTAAATTGTTTTAATAGCATAGTCAAACAACTTTAGAATCTTATAAACACTTGTTTCTTAGTAATAATAATAGTAATAATAATAATAATAGTAATAATAATAATAATAATAATAATAATATAATAATAATAATAATAATAATAATAATAATAATAATAATAATAATAATCAAACTATTATTATATAATGATAATAAACAATTGTTCATAATAATAAAATCGTTAATTTATTTTTCTTAATGATCAAATTTTTGAAAATGTAATATGTTCATTATCTAGAATTTTAATATTAATTTTTCTCAAATATTACTTAGAGTATTTTATGTACATTTGTGCATGTGCACAGGATATTTACTAATATAAATCGAATTATGACTTGTATGAGTTGTTGGGTAATAATTGCGAAAAATTGTCAATTGCTTCAAGGAATTGGACATATTAAATGTTGTACTTATATTAAAAAATATTTTGTGCGAACGAGATTATCTTAGAGAAATGTTCATTTGTGCATGGAATATTTTATATATTCTATTTTTTTTTTCATAAATTTCCATTATTATCATTAATAAAAAATTACATTTCAATCTTTTTTTTGTACAAAAAAGGAGGCAAAGCCTAGAGCCTGATTATTTCAGCACCCGACAAGGATGAGACACACCGGCAATATCATGTTGTAGCCATAACCCTGCCCCCGGAGGAGGCCTATCCAAAACATGCAGGCCACCTAATAATTCATCTTATAATATACTTTGGAGTTTTTTTAATACAAGACATGAAAAGATGGGTAAACTTTCAAATTGAGACTGATTTGAATAATAAAAAATAATAATGCAAAAACATTGATTGAATATACTATAATTATAAATATATATAAAAAAATTTAAATTGTAAAAGTATATAAAATATGTTTCACGTGTTTTACTAGTAATAAAAAAAAGAAAAATTATTAAATTTCCTCGTCTAGCTACGTAAGTGAAGTTGATAAGGTGTGTTGGCCTATAAAAGGAGGTAAGGCCTCTCCTCCACAATTCACACCCCAATAGCCTCATCACATACATACACACACATACATCTCTCTATCTACACAAATCACAAACAACGACGATGAAGAACATCCTCTACCTCACCTGCTTCCTCCTCGTTTCGTTGGCCGCCGCCCAAACTCCTCCCCCCGCCCCAATCCTCGACACCTCCGGACAAGAGCTGGTCACGGGTGTCCAATACCGCATCAGGTCCCCCACCTGGGGTGCCGGGGAAGGCGACATCAACGTCGACCCCCTCCAGCTCAACGCCTCCTGCCCTCTCGACCTCATCCTGGCCCGACGTATGATCGCCGGGCCAGGCCTCCCCGTGACCTTCCATCTGCCCCACGTGTCCGAAGCCGGGCATCCCGTCCGCACCTCGACCGAGATCAGCATCCAGTTCCCAACCCTCTCCACGGACACGGCCTGCAACGACGGCGGCTTCTGGACCGTCCGATTCGACCCCTACCTCCGGGGCTTCGGCATCACGACCGGGGGAAGCCTTGGGGGCGGGGACAGTCTGTTCACGATCCAGTCAGCTGGGGAACTCGTCCATACGCTCGCGTACTGCCCCAGGATTTCGCCCAGGTGTGGGCCACTGACCATCTCGTTCCGCGGCCGCCTGAGCGTGGCCCTGTCGGACGAGCAGGCCGCGTTCGGTGCGGTGTTCGAGAGAGTTGAAGCTGATGACAACGGCATGATCAAGATGAGTACTGAGAACTAAAATCAGGTGGGCGGGCGCTGAATAAATTAAAGTGGAATGGTTCCCAGCTTTAATGTGTCCTTGGTGAAGTTGAATTTGTATAAATAATCCGAACGCAGTTGTGCTGCGTGCGTGGGTTTTTCAGTTTCTATGAACAATAAAACGCTGTAACTTCCGCCCAGGAATGAATTAAGTAAGGTCATCTAATTTGCTGCCAGACAAATACGAATACAATAATTCGCGAAACAAAAACACTCTAAGCAATATGGCCTAGCGGGATCACTGCCCTTAGACATGGCCAATTCCGGTTCCGGGCCAAGGGTGGCCGGTCCTAAACTAGCCCGAACATATGCAGGGTCCGTTCGGCGAACTGACATTCCGGGCCGGTCCAGTGAACCGCCGGTTCGGAGCTGACTCAGTATAATTAAATAAAATTAATGAAAACAAAAAAAAACAAAAAAGGGTAAAACTGTCGGGCCGGTAACAGTTCGGATCAGGCCCCACGTTTTTCCCCCTGAAATGATAGGATTTCATTAAAACAAAAACACATAATTACAAATTAGAAGACAACTAAGTAGCCGAATAAGTCCGCTACTAATAAGTCGAATCTAGCTGAGAGAACAAACTCCATAGGCAGAATGCACGAGGCAACCTAAAACTAAACTAACTACAACACACAAAACCTAAATACACAAAGACTTTAACAGGAGAATAAACACTTCTTCCAACAGAAGAATATTACAAGCCCAAACGGGCGAAACAAAACACAATAAAAAAATCAAACAACTAATCACTGAAAACAAAGCTACAATGTTGAAGGAGTGTGCACAATAATTCTTTCGTCGGAGAGCGTACGCCATTCTCTAGCCAGAGAGCGATTCGCAGTGTTCCCTTTGGATTCTCAATCTCCCCATTAATCTCTAATTGTTGTTCCTTTTCTCGATTCCTTTATAGAGCGTCTATCAATTTTTTTCCAAGAGAAGAGTGTCGATTAGGGTTTCCTAGTGGGAACAAATTTCTGCACAGGACAAGATGAGGAGCTTTCCCAACGTCTTAAAGGCTTCTCTCTGTTTGAAAAAGGAGCATTCCTTCATCGATTTGGGCCAAGACGGCATCAAAATTAGTGATGAAGAATGCAAGCGTAGTTTATTTGGGAAAATTATTGGCGACAGAAAAGCAACATGCGAATAGGAGTTCAGCGTGCCATGAGCTACATTTGGAAGTTTCGCGAGCCAATGGAAGTTAAAGAATTGGGCCATAAATTTTTCCAATTCATTTTTTAGAACAAAGAGGATTTGAAGAAGGTGAATAAGGGCATCAATTGGATCTTTGAAAATGAATACTTAATCCTCTCAGAATGGAAAACTGGTCTATGAAACAGTCACCCTACATCCAAGAACTACAACTTTGGGTTCAGGTATTTAACGTGCCCTTGAACTGGCTCAGTACAGACGTGGAAATGAAGATAGGGTAAGTGTTCAAACAAGTTAAGAATATAGTGATAGTTGGAGTTTGATATGGGATATTATACCCACGAGGCTGAGCCGGTCTGTTGACCGGTCGAGGAGGTCATATTATGAGGAAGCCAAAGAAATCGAGCAATTAACTAGTCAACCAAGCAAGGCTGTCGACCAAACTATCCTTCGACCAGACACGCGATCGAGCAACTTATTCGACCTCAACAGGTCGATTACTCCGAGGACTTAACACCACGCTGTTCGGCCTAGTCATAGGCGCGTGAAGGAAGCCTCTGACAGAGTTCCAAGAGAATATTTACCCCATGTGCAGGGGGACACGTGTCGAGAAAGCAGTGGTGGATAGCGATAACCACCTCTGACAGCCTACCCCATGTGCAGGAGGACACGCGTCCAAAGAGGATTGGTGCAGGCGATAGTGGAGACGGCCGCCTCTGACACACGCGTTTGGTGTGTACGGACGGGCAGCTAGGGCAGAAAACTCATCAAATCCGGGCAGCCCTAGGTCAGGTATCTCACCCCTATATAAAGAGGGTGAGCCTTTCTTCTTCAACACGATCATTCTATTACTCCTTAGAATTGATTGAATACACACTGACTTAAGCATCGGAGGCTCTTCACCGGAAAACCCCTCCGGTGTGAGAGTTCTTTGTAGGTACACGACGTCCAACCGGCGAGAAGGAATGTGATTACTCAAGTTCCAGCCGGTCGAGGAGTTTTTGTGTTACCATTTGGCGTCGTCTGTGGGGACTTTCGTTGCAAAAGGCGTGCTTGAAGCTCAGCTATGGCGGACGGAGTTCCCAAAAACTTGCAGTCAACGTTCGATGATGCTTGGACGACGACCAGGCCGTTGGGGCAAGGTCCTCCTCCGGGTTTTTCGGGCCCATCACAGACGCCGGTCACCCCCGCACCGGTGCTCCAAGGTGTAGGAGCGGCAACAGCGATCCCTGGAGGAAATACCGGCCCCAATCGTGCCCAGGAGGCTCGCGCAGCGGACGCGGCGGCGATGCCACCACCACCACCGCAAAATTTGGCAACAGTACAACCAGGAGGAACAGGGGAACAACGGGGAGGAGCGGCGGTCCAAGGAGGAGCGCCGCCGCAAGCGGCGGTTCAGGTCCCCGATCAACCGGTGGTAATGACCAGGCAGGAAATGCAACAAATGGTGGCGGAGGCAGCTTCCCAGGCGGTTCAACAGGTTACAAACAGTCTTTCTCGGGCTACTACTGCCCCGAATACTGTTGCAGGGTCACGACAAAATGCGGAGGAGGAGGAATCCAGCTATGGCGGAGGCGGGCCTGCGCATGACCGGGAGATGGAGAGGATGGCGGAGCAGCTGCGCCAATTGCAGGCTAAGGTGGATGGTCGAGCAGAGAGGCGCGCTCGAGGACATCCCTTCTCGGCGGACATACTGGCAGCGCCTTTGCCAAATAATTACAAGGATACCAACTTGGTGTTTGATGGGACCTCTGATCAGTCGAGACACGTGAGAACATTTGAAAATATGGCTGTGTTGCATGGATATACTGACCCTGTTAGTTGCAGGGCCTTCTCATCGACCCTTAGGGGAGGGGCGCTCGACTGGTTCCAACAGCTCCCCCCAGGCTCGATAGTGGACTTTGGAGATTTTGCAGAAAAGTTAACAAATCAATATTCGAGCGCGGTAGCTCAGGAGAAGACGTATTTGACATTGATGGCGATGAGACAGGGCGAGAAAGAATCATTGCGTAAGTATGTTGCTTGATATAATCAGGCTTGTTTGGAGATTCCATCGGCGGTCGACGAGGTCAAGGCGGGAGGATTGATAAGGAGTTTGCGGGCGGGACCATGCAGAACTTCTTTGGCTAAGACCCCCGCCCACACGTATGATGAGGTATTGAGGAGGTGTAGAAAATATATCAATCTCGAGGAGACTGAGGCGGAGTTTGCCAAACTGGAGGAGTTAGGTCGAGGGGAGTCGAGGAAGGAGAAAACGGTCTCGCCCAAAAGGAAAGCCTCGCCCAGGACGGAGGGACGAGCTAGACCGGACCGAGGGCGAGAAGACAGGTGGAAGGATCGACCCATCTCTGGGGGAAAAAGATTCCATGATTACACCCCGTTGAACGCAAAAGTAGCCGAGGTTCTAATGGCTATGGAAAAAGGGATGGACGAGAAGGACGTGACGTGGCCCAGGTCGAGGTTCGAGGGGCCCACCCAACCAAAGTCGAGGAGATATTGCCGCTTCCACAAAGACTATGGCCACACTACTGAGGATTGTCGGCACCTCAAGGACGAGATTGAGCGCCTCATTCGGGCGGGACACCTCAAGGAGTTTGTTTATCAGGACAAGGGGAGGAGGAAGGAGAAGAGAAGGTGTCGGGAGGACTCGGTCGAGAGGAGTGAGGAAGATGATGATGAGGATGCGCGAGGCGGTCGAGATGGTCGAAAACGAGATGAGAGAAAGAGGAGGCGAAGAAGTAGAGAGCGGGAAAGAGAAGGGGATGGAGGTCAGGTGAAGAGAGGGACGATATATATGATCTCGGGAGGACCGACGGACGGGGACTCGAACAATGCGAGGAAAGGTCACGTTCGAGCGATGAAGAGGAAAAGGGAGGAGGTGAGTATCACGGCCCGAATGCCGGTGATAAGTTTTAATGCGGAGGATGCCGAAGGAGTGGTCCTGCCACATAATGATGCTTTGGTGATAACTGCAGAGGTCGCAGGATTTGATGTGAAGAGGGTGTTCATTGATACCGGGAGTTCGGTAGATGTGATGTTTTACGACTGTTTTGTACAGATCAACAGGGAGCTGAATATGGAGTTGAAACCGGTAACCACGGCGCTGTACGGTTTTAATGGAGGAGAGGTTCTGCCGATGGGAGAAGTCAGCCTGCCCGTGGCATTGGGATCAGGAGAGCTGAGAAAGGTGCGCATGGTGAGATTTGTGGTCGTAGGTACTGAGTCATCCTATAACATCATCATGGGACGGACGAGCTTGAATGCATTCCAGGCGGTCGTATCCACGTACCACATGACGATCAAGTATCCGGTGGGCGAAAACGTATGAGAGATTGCCGGGGATCAGCTTACTTCGAGAAGTTGCTATCAAACGACAGTCAGTAATAACAGACAACTGGCGAAAAGGCAGGCCGAGTCAAAAGGAGAAGAGGTTAATCGACCAGGGGGATTGAGGTCGAAGGAGGAGAAGCAAAGGGTGGACAAGGGCAAGGAGATGATGGATATCCAGCCTGGAGGAGAGGTTGAAGAAATTCAGATGATCGAGGGATGCGAGGATAGAAAGTTTAGAATTGGGAAGGATCTGGAGGAGCCCATTCGGTCGAGGCTGATTGACTTGGTAAGGGAGTTCGCTGATATTTTTTCCTATACAGCTGAGGAGTTGACAGGAATAAGGGCGGAGGTGATTGAACATCGACTGAATATCGACCTCAGCGTGAGGCCGGTGAAGCAGAAGAGGAGGCACCATGGGGCGGAGATGGACAAGATTATCGAGCAGGAGGTTGAGAAACTGTTGGGAGCAGGGCATATTAAGGAAATTCAATTCCCTGA